AATCAGTCAAGGATGTTTGGAGAAATCTTCCCACCACCAACCAAACATTTGACTGTTAATTAGGCTTACCAAATGTTTGGTAGTAGCGATATCTCTCCCAAGGTCCAGGATCCATTGTCCCCTATAACCCCGTGTCACTATTGTCCTTTAATACAATTATATGGTTGGACTCATCATTTAAAGGGCATTGTGTTAGGTCAAAAAGGTGGGTGGTTGACCTCTTTAGGGCTTGTCATGATACCTTATATTTTTGCCCATTTTTATTTCTAATTTTATTATTCTACATAGCTGAAAAAAGTACATAGAATCACTGAGAGTCACATCAACCCCCTGACGCCAAGGAAGCTTACAATTGCAATTCTTTATAATTATCATACTAACACACACACACAGCATTGCCAATCTATTCAGATTTGCATGCCGGAATGTTTTTTATTGGTGGGATGAAGTGAGATACCTGTAGGAAACCCAGACAAAACACAGGGGGAATATACAATTTCCATGTAGATAGCGCCCACTGGGGGTAATTAAGCGCAGAACCCTAGTGCTACAAGGTTGCACAGCAGCAAAGGGCTGTCAACATATAGCATGGCTTCCTCCACTTATAAACACAATCTATGAGAACAAAGCACTACAAAACTTTGGTGCCAAACTGCCATTTTTGTATTTAATGGGGGAAATTTTTCAAAACTGGAGCTGACAAAATCTGGAGCAGCTGCCCAGGGCAACCAATCAGCATCTCTCTACAGTTTGTACAGTTAAGATTCAAAAATGAGAGAAACTGATTGGTTGCTGTGCACAGCTGCTCCAGATTTTGTCTGCTCCAGTTATGATAAATTTCCATTAAAGTGCCCTGTGAGTTTGTGCCTTTCATGTTGATTTCTTCATAACTTGTCTTTTTTTTTCATCTTTCTTTACAGTTTGCGGGAAACTGGGGGATTTCACGGTCTCGCGGGTATCTGAAATGCGTTGGCCATGGCAAGCCGCCCTGTACCGTCGCTCTAACGGGGTGAGAGGTGCCAACCTGAGGAAGGGCACCTGGGTCCTGGTGTGCAGCGGGGCCCTGCTAAACGAGCGCACGGCGGTGATCGCCGCTCACTGCGTGACTGACCTGGGCAAGAGCACTATTATCAAGGTGTCAGATCTGAAAGTGGTGCTGGGAAAATTCCACCGAGACGACGAGCGTGATGAGAAGAGCCAGCAGCATCTGCATGTGAGTAACCATGGCAACTGGGAGCAGGGATGTATATGGTATGGGTAGCTTCATTCCCATAGGATGCGGGCTGTGTTCACAGATCTCTGTATGGAACAATAGATGTGGTGGACTCTGTTAATGGTTTGCTGCTCTGTGTTTAAACGGTGGCTCTTCCCAGAAGACTTGTTCTCCAATACAGCAAAATGTAAAGCATTACTCACACAAAGACAAGTGCCACCATTCATACAGTGCCACCTTATCACTTGTCAATCCTGCTCCTATACCTGATCCATATTATATGGTAATGAGAGACCAGGACAAGTAGATTACTTCACAGACAATACACTTGCCCTTAAGCTTAGATTTTCATACGAATGTTCATAGAAAAAATCCCAAAAAAGAACATTCAATTATTCAACATTCAATAATGCCATCAGAGACTTGCCAAATGTCGGTCAAAATCCCATGTGCTTTTAACATTCGATTTTGTAATGAATGCAGTCAAAAACGATACTTTTTAGATAATCAAATGAGTGTTCCGAAGACAATTAAAAACAAAATTCTACTGGTGTATGGCCAGCTTATGGATCCCTAACCTAAAAAGTGTCCCTAACATTATGGTAACTTCTAACACTACCTAAACCCTTTGCCTACAGTAAGCTGAGATTAAAATAACCACCCCAAGAATCATTCATTATGGAAAAAAGGGGGAAAGGGTGCATTCCCGGAGTGCAAACACTTATATTTACTATTGAAATCAAACTGGTGTAAAAAGTAACACTGTGAGTGATACTACTTCTAATAGGATATTATTGTAATGTATCTTAAATCAGTAGAATGTCCAAACATCAGCCAGCTTCTATAAATAAAACAACTCCTTTTGTTTATTCACATTCAGTAGCGTTTCCAGGGTATGGCATATATGGCACATGCCCTGCGTGCCACTTGAAGGGGGGCGTTGCTCCGTGGGTCAGTGAAAGTTTGCCGACCCAAGGAGACAGCTAACTTTTTTTTCTCCCCCTACCACTCTCCCATACACATCTCCCCACCTGGCACTCAGCAACCGGGGACGCTCTGGCCGGCAGGGCTCCTGGCAACCAGTGACGCCACCAGAGCAGGTATGTGTAAGGGCTATACATAGCAACCAGAGCAGGCGGGGAGATGTCTATATGGACAGGACACCGGCCAGAACAGCCAAGGTTGCCAAGAGCTGGATGCAACCTGGGCCACTTTGCCCAGGACCCCACCCAGCTCCTGGCAACATGTGATGTCTCTGGTGGCCAGGAGCTGAGTGGGACGTCAGGGGCACACTGTTGTAGATACGCCTCTGAAATACATTAACATCATTCAAAAGAGCGTCCATAAATAAAATCAAACTGTGAATTCCTCCTTGCTTTTTATTAACATCTTATACATGTGCACTGTATGGTCGGCGGACCATTCATTCCGGTGTGCTGATTATAAAGGTGGCTGCCTTACACACTTGCATTTGAAGGTTTCATCCACAGATGCATGCCCATGGACGCAGACAAGGGTGTGTCTCTATACCTGTACGGATTTGCAAGTTCAGGTCAGCAATTGGCCATGTGTAGCTGTGTCCTGTCATTGAGACGTACAAGCGGCTACACACAGCGCCCGTTCTTCCCCAGCACAGGTGTTTTGCACGGATGTGCACGTTGTGAGCCTGTACACATCTGTGTAAATGAGGCCTCCACAGGCTGAGTAGAGAAGCTTGCCCCCTGCCAACATGCTGTAGAAAAGGACTGTTGCTCTCTGTGTGAAAGCAGTGGTCTCACTGCAGAGGTATTACATGCTTCCTGGTGATTTAGAGCCAGAGCTATCCAATCAGCAGAGTTATAAGTCTGACTCAGTTGGGGCATGCTGGCACGGCACAGGCTTTTCTACCCAGAAAGAAAACAAACAAGACATTAAACATCTTTTGCTTTGATGCATCTGGAATGTATTTGGCTGATTTAAACTGAAGGTTCAATTGGGCTTCATCCCTGGTGAATGGGTTGGGGGGACTTCAACTTTTGTAGAACTTCTTAATTTGTAGCTCCCTGTAGTCTAAGTGTTCACCATAGTTAACTGGTTTCCTAATCTCTTTCTGTGTTTTTTTCAGATCTCAGCCATCATTGTGCACCCGAACTACGACCCCGTTTTGCTGGATTCTGACATAGCAGTCATCAAACTCCTGGACAAAGCCCGCGTCAGCGACTACGTCCAACCAGTTTGCCTCGCTTCATCTCCAGAGCTTGACTCCACCACCCTGGACTCCAGGATTGTCACAAGCGGCTGGAGGATCCTTTCTGACCCCAAGGCCCCAGGTTACAAGAACGAGACGCTTCGCGCCGGACTTGTCCTGCCGGTAGACTCGCTCCTGTGCGAGCAGCAGTATGAGGAGAATGGCATATCCGTCAGTGTGACAGAAAGCATGTTTTGTGCCAAGCAAGTGCTAGGAGCTTCTACTCACATCTGTCCTTCAGAGACTGGTGGTATTGCCGCCACGTTGCTGCCAGAATCTACGTCCTCTGAGACCAGATGGCACCTTATGGGACTGGTCAGTTGGGGCTATGATAAAACCTGTCACCGAGACCTGTATACAGGCTACACCAAAGTCACCACCTTCAAGGAATGGCTTGAAAGAAATATGAAGTAGATACTGAGTGAGGTAGATGAAACGGCCAATGGATCAAGATCCGAGGACTAAGAACTATTCTCTGTCCCATATTTATGTATTTATATCCACAATGCAGTAATCTACATCTCATTTTAGATAACCCGGTATTCAGGATTTTCATGAATTTTAAGAATTTCTGTTTTTACCTAGAAACACACATTTTATCAGGGAACTACATTCCATTCCAAGGGCTTTGGTGCAGTGTTGATGTCATGATGCTTGAAGGGTCTCCTAGACAATAGCCAGTGTTCCTAACATACAGTGAAGCTTCTAAAGCAGTAGGGGCCACATACATCCCTCTACTTCTTGGTGGCCCTCATGACTATGGTAAAATAAACCGTTGTTTTATTAAAAATAGTCTTACATTTTTACTTTGCCAATAGGCTTGTTTCTGCCACAGAGCTGCATTGTACATAGTTCTGAGTATTAGAGCTGACATGATTGACATGGATGATGGTTCAAGTATATTTAAACTTCAACGCTAAAATCCTAAATAACGGAACATGTTAAAGAAGAACTCTAGGCAGAATAAAACCTAACCCATGCAGTGGGGCTATACCCTGCACTACAAGGGTTAAGTGCTCGTTTTGGTCTAGGGTCTAAACTCTAAAGCAACAAAGATATACTCATCTGAACCTTGATTTGGCCTGGCTGTTGGAAAGCTCCCTGCAGCCTGTTACAGTTACATAGAGTTTGAGGTTGAATAAAGACAGGTCCATCAAGTTCAACCTTTGTATCCCATCTTATATATTGTATTAGACGTGACGACATTCCATCAAGGGGAGGGCTATTGATAGGCAGGGTGCTGTGATGTTTTTAGGAAGCTACAGTATGTACAGCCACAGTGGCACCAATGGAGGAGTGGCACCAAAATGACTGACAGTCATTTTGGTGTCACCCCTTTTAAAAAGTTGGGCACTCGGTCATGAACCGAGAGCCCGACAGTGTCTGGAGAGAGGAAGGGACCCAGCGGCATACCACCTGGTCTCGGCTCCGGGTGACACGCGGCCTCGGGACGCCCCTGTACAGCCCGCTGCCGGCCTCTCCAATCAGCCATGATCTGCCTGCATTGCATAGAGAAGGAGAGAAACCCAGTGATGACACAGTGGGCTCGCTTGGTATGCCATGATGTAGGCAGTGGGCTGGCTTTTAGGAGGAGTTATGCAAATATGAAAAAAGCCTTGATGGGTGGATGTTTGTCCGGTGGAAAACGGGGGGTTTCTAAATATTTGCATGAAGACCACCCTATGTAACGCCCGCATGTGATGCAAAGTCTCCATGATTGGAAGAACTGATATCCAATGAATGAAAGGGATGGGCCTGGGAAAGAGCTAGCTCAGGGGTGGGCTACTCCGGCCCTCCATCTGCTGTGAAACTACAAGTCCCATGAGGCATAGCAAGACTGACAGTTACAGACATGACTCCTAGAGGTAGAAGCATGTTGGGATCTGTAGTTAAAGCACAGCTGGAGGGCTGAAGTTTCCCACCCCTGGGCTACATGATGCTGGACCCTAAAATAAGGTGTGTAATTAAAACAGAAATGTTTTATTTACATTTTTTTTTAATTAACGTGTTGATGGTGGTCAGGGGAGAGAAAACAGGGAAAGCAAAATGTATGCAGCTTTAGGCAGATAATTTCCCATCAACGGAGAGTTGTCAGCAGTGCACAGAGCGGGAGAGGCAAGTATTTACAACCTTCTTTCCGGGTACAGCTTTTATTTAAGAAGCAGTGTTGCTTTAATTATCACCTTCATTTTCCATTCTCTGGACTTTGACACATTTCGCCAAAATTTTCTAATTCCACCAATTATTTTGGTAAATAAAAGCTCCATTTTGCTCATCACTAATGGCAAGCGTTGATTTGTCAGCCAAGTAGACCTAAAAATATTAGACCAAAAGACATTTCTGCAAACCTTTTTTTTACCTTCCTCTCTTGTTACGGCAAATGTTTGACAATTCTAAAAAAAAAAAAAGAAATCCTTTTACTTTTATTATCCTGCTTTAAGGAGCTTCTCCATCACCCAGAATTCTGACTTCTTCTGGCTCTCCGCTGCATCCATATGTTCTTTGGATTATAAGGGACACAGAAAACTGGGTCAATAATATTCATTTGCCCCCCAGGAAGACAGCTGCCAGCATCCTTCTGGCTACAACAAATCTTTTCCTGGCAGTGGAGAGTGCAGTGCAATACTTACTACTCTACTGCACAAATGATCTGAAATGAAGCGCCTGTGACAAGGTGTTGACACGTGTCACTTGTGTATGGGAAGCATATGTATACACTGTTGGAATCCATCAGTGGGGACTTAGAATATACCGTGTTTCCCCGAAAATAAGACACTGTCTTATATTTTTTTGGGCTCAAAAAAACACACTAGGTCTTATTTTCGGGGTAGGTCTTATTTTTTTTTTAATGTACAACAATTCAAAGTTAATGCAAATCCATATCCAAATCAAATAATCCAAAATGGCAAAATTAAGAATAGAGTGATCAGGGCAATCAGGGGTGCCTTACCTTTCCAAGAGCAATTTGGTAACCAATCTCTGGCCAGAATGAGTGAAGTGCACTTTCACTATTGATTCCTCACAGGCGGAGTGCATTTGGTATCACTCCGCCTGTGACAGGAGCCGACACTATAGAGGAAGCATTGGCTTATGCGGCTCTGCTTCCTCTAGCATCAGCATGCCCCACCCACTGCAGGCTGCCTGAAGAAAACTACAGGAGGGGGATGAAGACAAGACCAGTCACCCTGCACAAGAAGAGAGAGCAGCAGTGACCGGTCTTTATTACAGGAGGGGGCGGAGACAAGACCAGACACCCTGCACAAGGAGAGAGAGTAGCATTGGGTGGTCTTTATTACAGGAGGGGGCGGAGACAAGACCAGACCAGTCACTCTCCACAAGGAGAGAGAGCAGCAGTGACTGGTCTGGTCTTTATTACAGGAATCTCCATGTTTCACACTGGATTACTGCACACATCCAAATGAAATACACAAAGCTCACCATGATCAAGTAACAAAACACATGGCTCTGGTATTCGGACAATATTTGGTTAACCTAGCGTTAACCAACTTTAACATGAGTTTATACTTGCTACACCCATGTAGCTATGCTGGGAGTGCATGAGCTGGAAAATGCAGTTGCCTGGCTGTCATGTTGCTGCAATGGCTACAGAGCTACTGACCTGGGGCAAGCATGCAGCAAGTGGAGTCAGAACTTGTTCAGGAGTGCATTTTTGTGCAGGGTTAGTGATACAGAAAGGACTAAAGCGACTGAGTTAGGCAACATTTTCAGAAAGTGAGAAAAGAAATGACAATTTACGTGTCTCACCGTATGTTTCCTTTAGGTCTCATTCACACGAGAAAAAGCCGGCACGCACAGATCCGTGCTGCGTGCACGGCCGTATCGGGCAGCTCAAGGGAAGGACAGGTGCTGCATGTGATTAGTACGCAGCCCCTGTCCTTCTCTATGGGAGTACGCGGCCGTACGCCGCCCTACACTCACCTGCCCTGCACGTTCGTGCGGTTGAGGCTGTCTATACTCGTACGCTGACAGGATGGATCCTGTCTACATCCAAACCGGGACACCCGGACCCGTACGGACCTGCACTTGGGGTGAGCGTAGGGCGGCGTATTCCCATAGAGAAGAACAGGGGCTGCATGCTAATCAAACGCAGCACCTGTCCTTCCCGGGAGCTGACCGATACAGGCGTGCACGCAGCACGGAGCTGTATGTGCGGGATTTTTCTCGTGTGAATGAGGCCTTAGAGTGATTCTAGCGCTATTTATAAACTCAATTCCAAAGGCAAGTCTGCACAGAAATGGGCCGCACCATATTCTCTCCCGCTGCCCACCCTGCTGATCTGTGCTCTTTACCAATTTCAGTCCAAGAGAGGAGCCGGTACAACTGTTCAAGATTGAAGGGAAGGCCGGAGTTCAACTCTAAATGTATTCTGGGTTAAAGAGCCACTTTCGGTATAGAAAATACGCTTGTGGTTGAGATTGCCGTTGACGTTCTTACTTATGGAGTAGATGACGTTTTTAATCACACGGTATCACAAGACTGATTTGCCATGGGTAGACACTTCTTCTGAAACACAATCATTTCATTTGGAATTCAAACAAGACATTTTTTTTTCCGGTCTCATGTGACTTTAGCGATGATTGAGACGTAGCCTCAGAAATTAGTAAAAACATTGAGCACTAGGTGGCGCTATCGGCACATTAATGAGCCCCCTATACCCCGCAATACGGACGCTTAGTCGTCTGCAAATGTTTAGTATAAGGCAACCGCTTCAGCAATTTGTACATCAGACTCACTTTATTAAATTGCTTAACAAGACCAGCAGAACCTCCTAAAAGCCCATGGCGGCCCTTCCATTCTCTTCCCTCTCTTTCCATACCTTCCTACGCCGTCCTAATCCATTAGATGGGCCCGTTGGGTGAATGGGACCATTTTGGTGCCTTTTAGACACCTGTAGGCGATTGTGAAATGAAAAAAAAACACGCAGAGATGTAAATGTCAGACAAACATAATCCCTTCCTGTTCAGCATCAGGGCGTCTTTATTTCTCTGATAGAGACCTTCGTCATTAAAGTGACATTAAACCCTCAGATTTTTTAACATAAACCAATACTGTAATGTGTGCCTTACTGTAATCCATGGTTGTTTCCCTTCTCTTTGCTGCTTTTACTTTTAAATCCTCATGTCTTATCATGCTTGGGGAGAACTTCCCTTTGCAGCTGAGTGCCTCTTCCTGTAGTGCTGGCTCAGGTTGCAAACCTACACACAGACACCATGTATCCATTCCAGAGACAAGGCAGTCTGCTGCAAAACAGAAGTTCTGCCCAGCATGAGAACAGATACAGATTTAAAAGGAAGAGCAGCTAAGAGAAGGGAAACAACCATGGATTACAGTAAGGCGCACATTACAGTATTGTTTTATGCTAAAAAATCTGAGGGTTTAATGTCACTTTAAGTTGCTCATCCTGTTGGGAACTTTATTAGGCTGGGCGATTTTGCTCGGCGTTTATTTGTTTTCCGGATTTCTCTTTTTTTTAGGCTTCCTTGCGCACAATGGCAATAGCTAGGCTGCTATTGGCAATTTTAAATTGCAATAACCAATTGCAGGCTGGCTATTGCACCTGCCCACTGCTGCCAATCAGCAGAGGTGGACCTGAAGTTCTCCTTTAGGTCCTCCTCTGCTGATTGACAGCAGCAGTGGTTGGGTAAAATAGCCAGCATGCCATTGGCTATTGCAATTATAAAATGGCCAATAGCAGCCTAGGTATTTCCCCTGCTATCTGTTGTTTTGCCTTTTTTTCTGAAGGTGCCGCTGTCAGAATACAAAAAAAACACAAAAACAAAACAGCAGTTAGCAGGAGAAGCATTAGATCCTCTGCTATCTGCCATCATTTCATGGAGGTGCCCTCTCCCCCATCCAACCCCCACGGCCACGCCACCCTCACCAGTTGAGATCCCTGCAGACATGGCACAGGAAATGGTCATAGACTGCAGACATGCTACAGGAGATGGTCATAGACTGCAGACATGCTACAGCAGATGGTCATAGACTGCAGACATGCTACAGGAGATGGTCATAGACTGCAGACATGCTACAGCAGATGGTCATAGACTGCAGACATGCTACAGCAGATGGTCATAGACTGCAGACATGCTACAGGAGATGGTCATAGACTGCAGACATGCTAGCCACGCCACCCTCACCAGTTGAGATCCCTGCAGACATGGCACAGGAAATGGTCATAGACTGCAGACATGCTACAGGAGATGGTCATAGACTGCAGACATGCTACAGCAGATGGTCATAGACTGCAGACATGCTACAGGAGATGGTCATAGACTGCAGACATGATACAAGAGATAGGCGAAGACTGGAGACATGCTATAGGAGATTATCAGAGACTTAACTACAGTCATGACTACAGTCATGGTTGGAGACTAGAGACATGCTGAAGGTGATTCAGAAACTGGGGACACATTACAAGAACGTGCTAGAGCTCACTGCCATTGCAGTTTCCTTACTCGTCAGAACCCACTACAGTCTGCTTTAAAAAAATACTGCCACCACATTTCATATTTCCCTTCACCGAGATCCATTGGAGAAAAAACATTAGACCACCCAGAAAAAGAAAGCATGTTAAAAGGAATACGCCAAATAGCTTAGCCAGTGGAAACTATTTAAACTCTTATTAACTATTAAATGATTTTAATTATAATTAAGTTCCTAGACAAGGAAAACACATACATCAGGCTGCTAAGGTCTGAAGGCTGCACAATAAATACCAAAGGACGGGGTGTGGGCCTCGGTCCGAAGGATGGGCCATAGGGTGTAAATGGTTGCTGTGGTCAATGTAGACTGTTTCTGAATATGACACAAGCATGTGCTCCAGCTTGTTGCCTGTTAACTATGATTGGCTGCATGCACATGCATGAGGGACTTTGTACTAGCACATGTGAGTTAACGTGCATTGGCATGTGCCCTTGACAATGGGGGTGCTCACAGGCTTGGATGGTATCTTACACCTGCCTTTCTGGTGGCTTGTGCTGAGTCTTCCTACCAGCTACATTGTGCTAGTCCTATTTCTCCTGTTTCTGACCTGGACTGCCCGGACTGGTTTTGTCTCCTGCCCTTGTTGTCAACTCTGCCTGTTCCTGTTACCCCCTTGCCTGGATACTGACCACCCTCTTGCTTGCCACCTGCCTCGCCCCTTTGCCTGTAAACCAACTATGTTCTTCCCTGCCTCGACCTCGGCTCATTCGCTGACCGCCTGCTACTTCACACCATAGCCACTCTGTTCCTGTGACCCCTTGGTGGGGCAATCCTGAGGGTTGCTACATGGTGATAGCTTGCAGCAAAGTAGCCAATGACCACAAGGATCATTGGCCCATCCTTACGGGATGCTCCATTGAAGATTAAGTAGTCACTTAGACTCTGTGCCTTGGGTGCCAAGGATGTCATTTGTAACATGCTAATTTGAAGATTATGGAATTGCCACAAAAGTGCCAAGTGTATGATCAGCATGAGTGATAGCTCAATCAGATGCCCTGTAACATAAGCAACTTAGCGGTGTGTAGGTCACATCATTGGAGCCCACTGTTGGAACACTGTGCAGGGGATCAAAGGTCTTCTGACATTAATCATGAACAGCTTTTGCAGTGTAATCTAAAAACTAGAAATTGCCCATGTAGCCTCATAAAATAGTGTGAATTGGGGATTCACACTATTGTAACGTATTTATTTTTTAAAGTGACACTGTCACAAAATTTCAAAGTAGAAAAGAAGGTTCCCCTGAAAAGAAGGGACATTATACTTACCTGTCCTATCGCCACGTGGCCAATCTCCTCTGTCTTCAAGAGCTACGGTGCCAGGAGAATCATCTTCATCCAGGAACTCAGTGCAGTATGGGGGAACGAAAGAGAAGATCTGACTGTTTGCCTTAAAGGAAACCTGGGGGCTGCCATTGCTGAACTTCTTACCATACCAGGGGTGTAACTAGAAATCACAGGGCCCCATAGCAAAATTTTGTATGGGACCCTATGATTTCTGGTTACGCCCTTTGCAAAGCCCTTCCCAAACAGCCCGTCTGAGAGTGACCTCTCTCTATGGTGGGCTCTGCAGGGTCTCAGGTAAGCTGGTCACACCCCTGCACACCTCCTTACCTGTTAGCCCCGATCCCCTGTCAGCCTTATCCACCGCCGTGCCCCGCCTCCTCCGTCACCAGGCCTCGCCTCCTTCCCTGCCGACGCCCAGCCTCCTCCTCCTCCAAAGCTGCTGGCTGTCACTGACTCAGCAGCGGCTGTGAGGAGGAACGTGCCACTGCACAGATCACTGATAGGCTGTCAGGAATCTGAAAAGCGGCGCATTCCTCCTCACAGCCGCTAGTGACAGCCAGCAGCCTGCGATGCCATAGCGACCCAGGCGGCCCACACGGCATCAAGGGGATCCCTTTTCTCCTTGTCCTGGCCGGGCCGTCCTGTGCCCCATAGTGGCCGCCTGGGTCGCTATGGTGATAGTTCCGCCACTGCATGCTAGATGCCTGGTTGTTATGCTGACCCTCTGCCTTCAATACTTTGAGTCGCTGACCAGGAACTGATGGGGACTCCTGACCCTACTCTGCCTCAATCCTTATCATTCTGATTCAAATATCATTGTACATTTTAACTTCTTTCCCTTTAAATCGTTTTTAAGCAGCTCTCTGTATAAAACCCTAATAACTTGGCCTGAGGAAAATGTTAATTTAGGGCTAATTCACAGGTGCATATTCAAATACTCCCATCTACACTGGACCTTTATGCCAGAAGCCTGCAAAAAAAAAAAAATCCAGAGTAAAAAACGCAAGTTTTGGCGCAATTACTATTACTATTATTATACAGGATTTATATAGCGCCAACAATTTGCACAGAGCTTTACAATATAAGGAAGACATTACAGGTACAATACAAATCAAGACATAATGGTAAGGAGGGCCCTGCCCATGAGAGCTTACAATCTATTTATACATATGCACACGCATTTAAACATCTTTGTGCTCATATATATGTAAATGATCCCAGTAAGCTCCTCATCAAACGCAGATTTGGAACATATTTTGTGCTGCTCTACCATACGGATCTAAACGCCACAATACGCATGGACACAATGGCTGAAATAGAGCTGCGTTCAGAGGCATTAAAAGAAAAATGCCTAAAAGTGGTGTTTTTTCTTCCTTTGTGCATCACAGGAATAACAAATATCAAACCTCCTTCTGGTTTTTGAGCCCCCCTCCCCGACCGTATTTATTAACATATCAATCATGCACTTGTCACTTTTTTTCTCCTCTATTGGTTTATAATTTTGTCCAGTTTTTATTGATTCTTTGTATCAAGCACTAGTCTAGGGATATTTTCTCATAATATTCAATTATGATTTCATTTTTTTTTTTTGCTAATTTAATTTTTATTTATTTTTGCTAAACGTGAATTCTAATTTTGCCATAATGTATAAAAGATGTGACATAAATGGTTGTGAATGATTTGCAGTCATCACGATACGATTCAGATGAAAGGAGGACGGCTCGATTCGCAGCCGGAGAATACCCTGCTCGCAGTTAGCCCTCTACAGCTATGTGTAAAGGAAGGCTGAGGATTTAAAAGAGTAACAACAAGCGAGTGATGTCAGCTCTGCCTAAAATAGAGAGGGATAGACTGCAAATCCACAGCTAGGGGACTTAAAGCTTTCAATCCCTCTGTAGCCAGCAGCAGGTCAACACACACAGCTCCTGGAAGAGGAGAAAGCAAAAGATCAAAGCTAGCCCACGAGTCCACCTCCCCCCCCTCTTTTTTTCCTTTTGCCCCCCCTGGCATCAGCCAGTAAGAGCTCACTACTTCACCAGGGGTGGCAGTGCAAGCCCTTGAGTCATTTCAGGTCTGGATGGTGGAGAGGCATTGAACTACAGACAGGTGCTCAGCTCCGCCGCTTCCCGTTGCTTGTGTTTTTGGTTGGAACTCTGAGGATTATTCCAAGCATCTTATGTCACCACTGACAGACTTCCCAAAGATTTTTTAAAGTGACCCAGTCCCAAGGGCTTGCTGGAGAAAACCGAAGAACCTGCGGCGCCATGACGACCAATGAAAGGTGAGTTTTCCCTCGACTGGGGTCCGTATCATCGCACCCTTTATTTTTCTCCTTCATTCAATGTGTGTTTTGTATTCTCTTTTCCAATGGTCTTGATTTGCTTTGGTTAGAGCACTTTGATGGCTTTATTGTTGACCGTGGTGTAGAGGATAGGGATGCAAATACTGGAGATGGCAGGGGGCACTCGTAGCGAATTAAGGGGCTTTTGTTGTCAACAGCTGTTCACATTCATTATTTATCAGGCGAACAAAAGACCCTGAGCTTGTAACGGGGGGTTTGCGACCGGTTGCTTCCAGCCGGAGCTCCCACGGCACTACGGGGTCTGCTGATCAGACTTATTGTTTTGGGTTTTTTTGTCAGGTCGTCAATACACTTGTTTTTGGATTGCTTGCAAGGATTTGTTCATTGTTCCCAGTCGGGAGGGGGAAATCGCTGCCATTCGGCTCAGACGGCAACTCGCGCTCAGCTGCATATTTAAATATATGCATACACAGAAGAAGCCGTCGTTCGATACTGAGGTCGAACGACTTTCTTTTAAAGAAATACACCCAATTACAAACACTTTAGCATATCAATGAGCAATCTTTTTTTTATGATCCAACTAACTCAATGCTGACACAATCATACAAGGTCCAAGTCACCCAAATGAATTGGGTGAAACCATTGCGTCCTGATCTCCTCTTTGCACATATATGGCCAGATGGTCACCTAGAACTGTTGATATCAATTGCATCTTATTGGGGATTTAAAATGTGAGAATGCATTGGGTTCTGACCATGTATTGTGATCTGGATTGGTGGTGCATCTTTGTAATGCTCTCTTAAAGATTGTTGTGTAGCTACCATGCCATTACGTTTCTTCTTGGCTGGTTCAATGTGATATTTGCATGGGTGTCGTGAAAGTGCTGTTCTGTATGTAGTTGACTGCTTGCACGGTATTTCCAGCGTGCTGGAAATTAAACTGCCATTGATACTATGGTTAGGATCAGTCACTGCGTGCATGCTCTGACCGGTCACATTGCTACCAAGAATCAAGTAGGGATAAGACCTTAGTTTCTTACCATGCTCTAAGCTGCCAGGCTAATTCAATATGGCAATGCAAAGGGGCCAATGACCATGTGCAGACTAATAACCAGTGATAACCAATCAGAATTTATCTTCTTATTCCATTGATCTCTCATTGTCTGTTTTCAGAGTCTTAGCAAACCATCGCTGCTCTTTGCCATGTTGGCCAACCCTAAATATTCACTAACGTTGCTATAATTCAAAGATGTTGTGAAATGAACAGCGCCCAATGTTGATTGGCTTTCCAATTGAACTGCCAAGTGTTCAAAACAGGAATCCTAAATTAATATCGAGGCTGGAACAGGCAATCGATGCAATCACGATCAGATCCTGCAGTCGCCATGGCAATCTGCGGTCTCTGGACAGCTCATGAATAAAATCAAAGATCTTATTAATAACTGAAATTTTCACCACGTCAATAATTGACGTTTAACACAATTTCATCTTCGGGGTCAGGCTCGTCTGCGGTTTTCCCTAATCGTCAAATAATGTCTTCATTTGATGTTGGCAGCTGTTGGCTCATTGAGTATTCTCTGCTTGTGGCAGCCCGGCGGAGCCTCCGGAGAGCGCCTCGAAGATCGTTCCTAGATTAATACTTTCTACCATCGCAATCTCCGTGATTGAATTACTTTGCTACCAACAGATAGAACACGTCCCTTGGGTCGTCGAGGTGGCAAAGGGCCACGGTTGATGAGCCTTTTAAACAACGCTTGACTAGAAGGGGATGGCAGCAAACACAAAGGTGTCTGGTCCCATATCATTATTTGTCAGCTCATTTTCAATGCCTCTGAGTCTTTTTGCAGCTCACGATGGGGTGAGAGGTATAAGGGGACCCTCTGTTATACATTTGAAGGCAGATGCCTTCAAATCTGGGAGCTGTGATTGCTGACTTGTTTAGTACAGGTTCCAGTGCTCTGATCTGCTACTGGCTTCATTGGCTTGAGAGGCAATCATCTGGAACAGTCATGTTGCCATTGAAGGCTGATCTCCAATGCTTCATACTATTATTTTTATTGCAGGTATTTATATAGCTCTGGCAACTTTACGCAGCGATTTACATTGTCGCACAATCACATCAGTCCCTGCCCTCAAGGAGCTTACAATCAAAGGTCCCTATCTCACATGCATACATATGAGGACCAATTTAGACCAATTATGATACTAATTCCAGGCCAGTGACTCCTAAGGTCGCAAATCCACGAACAAGATGGCAGATAGGTAGGTTCCCATTAGAATGTCTCCCAATAGGAACCTACCCATTGGGAGTCACTCTTCCTTAAAGTTAAACTCCGGCCTTCCCTTCAGTTCTGTCCAGTTGTACAGGTTCCTCGCCTGCTCTGAAATTCCTTACTCTGATTTCACTGCTCACAGTGTGCATTAGAAGCTGCAGCAAGTCTGATAGAGCCTGCCTCATTTCCTGGCTGGAGGACATGAGGCATTAGCTAGGCCTTTCTTCCCCGGCCTGACTGTCATTGGCCTTCCCCTTTCATTCATTGGGTTTCAGTTCTTTTAATTATGGAGGCTCAGCATCTCATGTGAGTGTTACTTAATCTGCCTAGGTTCTCCTGCTCCTCCAGACTGACCACCCATCAAGCCATTTAGATATTTGTATAACTCCTCCCAAGAGCCAGCCCATTGCTTGCTTCAGGGCTGATGGCTCTTGAGAAGAGTACTGAGGCAGAGTTCTCTCAATACAAGCAGACTTCGTTTAAAAAAAATCAACCATAGTTTTCCTTTTTTTTTTAAAAAAACCCCACCCCCTTAGTGTAGCCTTCCCAGTCTACTTAGTGATGTCTACTAAGAAGAAGCCCCTAAAGTGATGGTTTTGGATGAAAGCCTGTGCCATGTCAGGCCAGGCCACACAATGAAGATTGCTGGGTCAATGAGGAAGGTAAGTATGTAACCAGGTGGGCTGAGATCCTGTACCTAGTATAAAAAATGCAAACAGAAGAACCCTGTAGACATTGAATGCTTACCTGTCCAGAGATAGGTTGAGTTCAATTTTCACTCTTTGCAGGACTATGGCCACCGCTGCTATCCAACACTTCTGGGGGTGTCAGATGACTGGCCCCTCCACTAGGCACCCTGTAGTGATCAGGTCATAGTTCTGTTCTCTCCTTTTGTAACCATGTTCCAACTGTTGTTTAACAGCAGTGCACAAAACAATAGAGCTTTCATTGGCTCAGGGAGTGTGACATTTGCTGATTGGAGAGTTCTAGCTCCGACTCAGCAGGGGGTGTGTTGAACATCTACAGAGAGGCCACTGCTTCCCTATGGAGAGCAAAGGTTCTTCTCTACAGCATGCTGGAGACTTACAGGCTCTTCTACTCCGGCTGTGGCTACTTTCTAAAGGAAACACACTGCACAACTTTGTTTTGACGCATCTGGAGCACATTTAAAGAAGAACTCCGGGCAAGTTATAAATGAACCCTTGCAGTGGGGCTATGCCATCTAATCGCAGTCCTGCGGTAGTGACCTCTCACCTCTCTCGCCCTCTTTTCCGGCTGCGGAATGTCTCTCAGTGTCCTGCGGTACACAGTGACGAGGGAGGATGGAGCTGGCTTCCCGGCCAATCAGGATGCCGGGCAGCGTGTAATGACTTGCTGCCTGGCTTCCTAAAACCGTAAGACCAAGTATTGGGCTAGACATCTGAGCATTTGGACGAGTACGAGTCCTCGCCCAAATACTTGGCATCGGCACCCATACTGATATTAGCATCGATATCGGTGCATCTCTACTGCAAGGGTAACTTTTGAAATGCCCAGAGTTGTTCTTTAACTGATTTCAACTGAAAGTTCCGTTGTGCTTGTGAATATACGACCACATTGAATGTCTGCCTAGAGTTCTGCTTTAAATATCAAATCTGATGACTGATTTATACTTCCCATTTTTTTTTAAGTGGAAAGGTGGATTAGCATTTTTGGAAAATGTCATTAAAGCAAGGGCACTTTATATCTCATTTAAGGACATAGTTATTGAGGCAATAGAAGAACACAAAGGTTTCATTTTGTAACTTGATAACATCCAATGATATGTCTTATAGTCAAGAGGCCCTTTATGGAGGGTATCTATAAATCACAATGGAGGGGAAAAAAATAAATAAACAATCAATACTTTGTAGATTAATTAATTCCCAGACTAGTCCGGAGTAATACAAAGTCATGCCCTCCTCAAATGTTATTGATCGGAAGAATCAGGCAAAAATAAAATCGCTGTCATAATACTTTTGCCCACTGCAGGCACTGTAGGCTCAATTCACAGCCCCAACACCCTAAAATTAGGATCCTTATTTTAAAGAAAGTGACGGTTATTTTTTAGCTGGGTCCAATGAGATTTAAAAATTACAGTCACATGACTATAAATAAATATCCTCATCCTTGTGCAAAGCTTGGTGAGTTGAGCCTGATGCCAATGCATCCTGGATAAATGATGTTCCTTTTTTTTAGTCCGAGGCTGGCTTAGAAGACAGACTACAGCCTTATATACAACTATATTGAACTATTTATGAATAACTATTATTTACAATGGGTGTAATTAGCTTAGCATTAACAATGTGCAAATGTACAACATTGCACACAACCAATTAATGATCATCTTTCAGTTATTAGCCGTCAACTATGTGCCACAGCCCAACACCATCATGGCTAAATAACCGTTTATAAGCTTTCTGAATGCAATGGCGGATATTAAAGAGACACAAATTAATGCAGCTCTTTAATCATTAATAAATCATGACATTTAGGGGGTTATTCACTATTGAGCTGAAGTATATAGCCGTAGCTATGGCTAATCCTTTGGCTCTCTTCGGCCGCCGGAGCCCTTCGGGTCAGTCGAACCGAAGGGCTGCTGTACGGGCTACTCACTTAATCTCCCACTATACCAAGCCCTAAGAGTTCATTTAAAGTCATAATAAATCGAACAATAAAGTCATTATTA